TCAAGATATGAACTTTTCATAGCCAGTGTTTAAAGAAAGTTCACATTATATCAAAAACTGAAAAGCAAGAAAGTGGGGAGAAAGATCATGAGCTAGTTCTCTAGCAGCGGATGAGAATTGCTGTTCCGCAACACCACTCACCTCAGTACTCTTCAAGCCTCAGAATAATGAAGCAGCAAAGCAATGTATCTAAATGGAAAGTTAGATGTTCTAAGTTATCAAGACATCCCTACAAATGACAAGCAAGGGAAAACCCCACAATTCATTGTAAGGGTATACAACAGAGTACAAAAAAAGGCTAATTTTAAAGATTATGCTAACAAATACCCCACTTATAAATATATAAAATGCAAGCCATCATCAGAGACTCGAGCTTTTGAATTTGATCTACATATGCTTGCTTTTTGAATTGGAGAACGCATGCAAACATTTTTTTTTTTTCATTTAAATTACCAGGTAACATATTAGAACAATATTGTTTCATGGAGTAGAATTCAGTGGATTCATCAGCTCAAGCAACACCCAGTGTCATCACAGCAATTCCCACCTCCTAATCCCCATGACCCATCTAGCCCATCCCACATCCTGCTCCATCAACCCTGAGTTTGCCTTCTCACCCCTATGAATTCCTGTGGTTTGCTTCCTCTCTCTCTCTTCCCCCACCTTCCCAACCAAACTATTGTAATGCTAATATCCTTCCTTCAATAGTAGTAGGCGAAGTATTGCTTGCCTGGGTGGAGATTTAGTGAAAATGCCATAAAGTAACTCAGCATAGTTCCTCAATGGCCTGCTATGACTGTTCTTATTGAGGAGAGACGATCAATTTTTCTTTCTCTCAAAGTCCCCATATATACTTCCTCACTTTGAGCTCTCAAGTTATAGAGCCCTATTCTCAGTTTTTTTTTTCCTTTCTCCATCTATCATCACAGCTAGCACCCTCACATATTCACATTTACTCGCCCTGAGATCTGATCATATTACAATACACAAGTACTGTCCACCTTTCCTGATTTAATGCTTTCTATCTGACTCCCCTGAGAATGAAACCACATCCATATTTCCAACACTTGGCTTGCTTCCCCTGACTGACTCAAATAGCTTTGCATTTGCTCATGCTGCCTCACCCATTATCATCTCTACCGACACTGAACTGAGTTGTAGCTTCATCTCTGCCCAGTCTTCAAGACTCTTCAGCCTTACACACACTGCTTCCCCTCTGGTTGAATATCCACTGTCATAATTTCGCGTTCTCTTTCTGTCTTGGAAACTCCACCTCCTCTTCAAGACAGCAAGGAGTCATCTTCATGAATGTGTGTGTGAGTGTGAGTGTGTGTCGTGTGCGCAGTGTTTTGACATTCTTCCTCGAAAAAAAAGAGTTTTTTGTGACAATTTAGGATTGTGGTGTTATCACTGTAATTTTTATTTAACTCCATATGTTTCCGTTGGCAGACTGGGTGCGCATGTTATACCTACTCCCATCCTTTACCCCAGACATAGTTTGGTTGGGGACAGTAGGTAATCACATATCATTGATACGAAGGAATGAGAGATTGTGCTCACAGGAGTTGGCAATGAAAGAGGAGAACACAAACAGGGAGCTGTTAGTACATTGTGAACAAAGAACCAGGAGAGGAATGTTTTCCATATTCTGAGAGACTGGGACCATTTGTAGGGGTCAGGGTGTGTTTTGGAAGAATAAACAGAATAGAAAAAACTAAGCACAATAGAAAATATCAGGAGCACGTCAGACGGGGTCAGGGGTGCAGACCAATCACTCGTGGTTCTCCTTGTTGAATTACATGTGTGTGCACGTGAGTCAGATACACATTTATTTCCCCCACTCTGCTTTCTTCATTGAATGTAAGATCCAAATGAGCAGGACCTCACTTCTTTCATTCATTTTTTTTTTTTTTTTTTGCTGTTTAATAAAGGTGTGCATTTATATAGTAACACATTTTACAAAATGGAATTTATAAAATAAAAGGAATAGCAGGGAGTAGAAAACCGGGATAAATAGTGAATTCAAAATAAACTTATTAATTAAAATTGAGTTAAAAAGACTCTTCTGTAGGAGAAGATATAAAATATAATTTCATCACATTAACACACGTCTCAAAATCAAAATGGAAGAGTCAAAAACCCCAAAAAAGAAGAGGAAAACAAGAATTATGATTATAACTGACTTTAAAAATAATGCAGGGGGGCGCCTGGGTGGCTTGGTCGGTTAAGCATCTGACTTCAGCTCAGGTCATGATCTCACAGTCCGTGAGTTCGAGCCCCGCGTCAGGCTCTGTGCTGACAGCTCAGAGCCTGGAGCCTGTTTCAGATTCTGTGTCTCCCTCTCTCTCTGCCCCTCCCCTGTTCATGCTCTGTCTCTCTCTGTCTCAAAAATAAATAAACGTTAAAAAAATTTTAAAAAATTAATGCAGGGAGCAGACTATAAAATTATAATTTCATTCTATACAAACGTAAGTGGGGTCACACACACTTGTGAGAAAGATATAAGTTGAATGCAAGAGAAATTCACGTTTCCACAGGACGGCAGAAGGACGATTACTAGTTTAGAAAATAGATCCAATCACAAAACAAAAGGCGGCAGCGAGGAAGCACAGATGGGAGGTAGGTGGCAATACATACAAAAGGCAGTTTATGACTACAAGGCACATAGAAAGCAATGGGTGGGGGAGAAAGTATGGCCGACTGGTAGATTTGACCAAAGTTTATAAACTCTCACACCACCCAGAAAATATACCCGTACATACATACAAGAATCAAACAGCAAATAGTAAACGTGGCTTAAAATTTGCAAATTTTTTTTTGTTTTTTTAAGTTTTTATTAAATTCTAGTTGGTTAAAATATAGTGTAATATTGGTTTCAGGAGTAGAATTATTTGTGTGAAAAAAATGCAATTAAGAGGAAGGAAGAAAATGATTCAGCAGGAGCAACAAACGAAGAAAAGAATAGGAACACTCAGACTCAATGTAAAAGGCAAAGAAATTACACTGGTAATTTACGACAGGGAAA